AACTATCCCCGGCCACAGCATCAGTAACCAAAACCAATTCCCATGAGGTCAGACAAGTCCCCCACACTCCCAAGCCTCTTTCTATTCATCTCAGCACCAATATTGCTACTTTACTAGGACCAAAATCTGCTGTGATAGCACACAGACCACACAGAATCATATTGGGGGAGTTAAAAGGATATAATTCAGATTAATAACAAAATATAGTCAAGACATCTCCCAAAATGTATGTGCAGGGACCTCAGTCTCAAGCTTTGGGATGTTTCCAAGTTCTCATTCCTGCCAGTATTGGCTTTCCACCCCTAGTTTCCCAACAAAGTTCTCAGTTCTGCTACTGTTGGCTTCCCTCACCCCCAAAAGTCCCATTTTACATCAGTTCTCCAGTTCAGCCATTGCTGCTGCTGCTACTGCTGCTGCCGCCGTCCCAAAGCAGATCCTCCAGTGTGTCCTACATTTCACTGGATTGAGGGAAGTCATCTTCCTCTTCTGGAAGGGGAAGAAGTTCTTTTGGTGGGGGAAGATTTCTTCTGTGCAGCTGAAGCCCTTAAGTTTATTGGCGAGACTAGCCAAACCCCTTGTAGATTTTTGAGACTATCCAGTCTCCTTATGAAATGATAGATAGCCAATCCTCTTGAGGATAGACCAACATATCCCATTCGCATAGTTCCACCATCTGTATAGCAACATCAAATAAGAGCTAGGGAAGTCGTATTGAAAAGATAAACTCCACAGATACACAGGGCCCCTATACTTCACCCTTCCCTCTCCTCTCTTCAATATCCAAAGAACTCACATGTTTCCTAGCCCCTCTCACCTTGCCCCTAACCTTCTCATTCTAGACCTCTGTCTTCATGCTCTCTCTGCCATGATTGAGTCTCATTTCCTTAGAGTTTAATTTTTTGCCTGGTAAGATGGCTTTACATTTTCACCTGATAAGGAGGCTTTGAATTTTTTTTTCTTTTCATTGAGGTATTGCTTACATGGTTCCTTCTCTTCTGTTGGAACATGTGTATTTTGACAAGAAACTCTGAGATTCAATGTCACAATTCAGAGTCTCATATTTTTATGGAAGAGTTTTAGTGCAGCAAATTAAGTATTTCAAAACAAAACATGACCTAGGATAATTAAATGTATTGTATTTTGCAGGGAGCTTGGTGCTTACTGTGTCTGTACGTTCAGCAGGACTTTACAATATAACTTGGGGGTAGAAGTTGTTCTAGGGTAGGTTGCAGAGTATTCCCAAAATCCTCTTGGTGAAGTATCAAACCTAATGGAGTTCTAATAGAATCTCTTCACCCATAGAGTTGTCATTCATGGCATCTTGAAGGAGGACTTCTGTTTTCCAATTTAGATCATTCATCATTTAATTCTAATTGATGCTAAACGAACTGAAAAACAAGCCTCCCTTCATCAGTGCCTGTTATCTTCTGAGTTCAGGTTGTGAACTCAAAGATCATTTTGTTTATTGATGAGAAGATGATGGCCTAGAGAAGTAGAGCAACTTTTCTATCATAGACTGATCAATAGCAAAATCAGAACTAGATTCCAGTTCTCTTCAATATTTACATGTGGATTTCATTACCTTTTCAGAGTCTAAATACCATTTATTCCTCTTGTTGACTCTTTAACTACCTCTACCATTCTAGTGGCCCAAAGAAAGTGTTAGTGCTACTTCACAGGGTGCCTACCTCACTGCTCTAGGAGTGGCCAGAGCAATGGGAGAATCTTGCAGAACAGGTTTTTACAAAGCAGTGGAATAATAATCAAAGGTGATATAACCCAAACCTGGGAAAAGAATATCCTCCTTTGTTTTTTTGCTAGTTGCGAAAGAACCATTAAAATTCAACTCATGGTGAAATAAATCACAGTAATTCATCTTGAGGCAACATGACAGAACTTCTTTGGTCTAAATTCTTTCTGACCCTATGTAGGACACACGTTGGTAACTTTGAGTTTCTGCTGAACGTGGTGGTGTCTGGTGGTCTTCTGGGCTGGTATCCCCACTGAGAAGATAAAGTTAGGAGCCAGGAAGAAGACAGACAGAGATTGCAGAGATGAAGGAAGGGAGAAGCTACCCATCTATATACAAAACATATCCTGCCTCTTGGTGCAAGCTTATGGCCCACTCACTGCTGAATGGGAAGTTCCAGGAACATGGCGAGAACTTGATTGAAAGTAACAGAAGGTAACACATACTAGTTTAAGCAAAAAATGAAATTTATAATAAAGATCCCAGCATGTATCAAGGAAAACAGGGAGATAAAACAGCTGACCAAAGACTGGACTCAGACCCTGAAATTATAGAAAAGTTCTTTGTCTCTTCTCTCTGCTTCATTCTTCTTTCTACAGATTCACTTCCTCTATCCCTCTGCTTGACATAATGGGAAATATTACCATGAGCAGCTCACAAGTTTTATAAATGACTGTAAAGCTACCCAAAGACATCTTAGCCAACTTTCTCTAATTCCAGTCTAACCATGGTAGAGACTGATTGGCCAAGCTTGAGTCAGTTTCCTCTCTTCAAGCCAATGAGTAATGGCCAGTGGGTTTAAAAAAACCCTATAATAATGACATGGTCCATCTACCTTAACTGTATACCAACTATAAATGGACAGAACAGATAAGGGAGCAATGAAACAGTTGTTGACTGTACAGTTGACTTAGAAACATATCACTCACACTTGACTGTAGGCTATATCTCAGTCATTCTCAGATTTCTATCATTTCATCTGGGATCCAGAATGTCTCTGTGTTGCAACCCCTACCTGCTGCCTGTACCATAGACCTAAACAAGCTGATTGCAGCATATTGTCATTGAAATGACACAGGTTTTTGATCCACACAGACACTGTGGATTGGAGCCCAGATTTACCATTTACCAGCTGTGTGACACTAGAAAAGTTACTTAGCTTCCCTGAGCCTTGGTTTCCTTCCCTGTAAACTAAGAGCATTCACATGTTATCTAATGCAATTTTTGTTCAGTTAAGGCAAATACAGTAAACAGTATCTCATAGGTGTCTTAATAGTATAACAATAGATGCTCAGTTAATTTTTTTTCTTAATTACCTGTTGTTGTTGTTATCTATTGTTGACTTGGAACCGACCAATAGCTGACCCTGCAGTGAGTTTCCAGAGGCTGTAAATCACACAGAAAAAGAGTGCCCATCTTTCTCACATGGAGCAGTTGGTGGATTTGAATTACATGTCTTTGGGTTGGCAGCACAACTCCTTGCCACTAAGCTACCAGTATTCCTTGATTAATTTACCTAGAAACCTTTTTTATGTGGGTGAGAAAATGATGGCAAATGAAAAGTGGGGAAAAGTAGAAGTGACCAAGTTTTGTATCTAGGAAGTATCTTCCTGCCCCAGAAAGTTTAGTCTGGCCCTGAGCAAACATGAAACAGTTTAAGTGGGTCAGTTGCACTGGGAAAGCCATGCTTTGATAGATACAGACTCTCACTTTAGAGCCAAGTCAACAAGAATCCTTTACAAGGATCTGAGGATCAATTATGCGTGTTGTAGTTTTCTTATTAATTTACTGGTGCGACTGCATAGCCCTTAAACTTTTCCCTGTGATTTTCAAAGTTCAGATAATGCAATCTAGTGGCTGGCTTAGTGAATTAAATACTGTGTTTGATACTATTTAGAGATACATACAGCCCATTGAGAGTGGAGTAAATCGTGCTTTTCTATTAAAACTAGAATTTATTGAATGGTGAAAGAGTTACATTGCAATAGAAAGGAATATGATTAAAATACATTAGCAGCTCCTGGAAGAAGGATGAGCAGTCTCCTCTTGTGTTATTTAGTCCCTCTGAAAACCTGCTTGGAGGGTCACCTATGGGTCGGTTCCAACACAATGGCATGCAACAACCACAATGGCAAACACTACACAACATTTTTATACGAGTTATCTCATTTCTTCCTATGAGTTAAGCACTATCATACCCATTTTCCAGATTAGGAACCTGAGGTTCAACCAAATAAATAGCTGATCACATAGCTCTGAATGGCAGATTGACATTTGAGCTCCTTGTAGTCTCTCAGGCAGCTCTGGTGACCTAGTGGTAAAGAGTTGTACTGCCAACCCAAAGACAGGCAGTTTGAATCCACTGGCTTACTCAGTCAAAAAGATGAGCAGTCTCCTCCTGTGAAGTTAACTGCCTCTGAAAATCCTTCAGAACATCAGCTCTGGGTCAGTTCTGACTTGACAGTACACAGCAAAACATTTACTCTCTCAGAGCTGCCTTTGCTTTTAACACTCTACACTTGGATTTGTTTACAAATAGGCAACAAAAGAAATAAATCATCAGAGAAATCTGTGCTTGGAGCATCTCACTTTTGATAAATGACATTCTCATGGCTTCTCTGTGTCCGAAGTTGCTCCATGGGCCTGAATGCAAAGCAGCAGTGTCCCAGGAAGAAAAACAGATGAACAGCAAATAGAATATCTTGTTGGGCCCAGCAGCTATTCTAGTTACTTATACAAACGATAGCAGTGATGAAGGGGTTGAATGCTGGAAAAAAGAAATTGGAAATCTTATCCTAGCTTTAGCCTTATCCATCTTTCTTGAAATTGTGTGTCTGCTGACCTTCTGCGGCTACGTGGAACGATATGTGCATGTGCGTGGAATATTTTGGCGGGTTCTTGGAAACATCAGAGTTTTCGTTATCAATCAAAGGTATTACCAATACTTCTGATGACATAGGAAGAGGGTTTTTTCCATTGACCTTTGTTCAAGTCAGGGAAATCACTGTGCTCTGTAACCACCAATTAGCCCGCTGTCCCAGAAACGTTGTCTTTTATCCAGTTCGTGCTACTATGAGTTTTATTATGTCCCAGGCTGTGCTTTGCCTGTGCTTTATTCCCTTTGACTGCATCCTGTTGCGTAAATGGAGGAAACATTTAAATATTATGCCTCTTTTGATTAGAAGTCCATCTGGATTAATAGCTTATGTTTTCCTTTTTTTTTTTTTTTTATTCCCTCTCTGTCTTTCAGCTCCAAGGCTCCTTGAAAAGAAAACAAGTTGTCAACCTGTCTCCTGCCAATAGCAAGAGGTCCAATGGCTTTGTTGAAAACTCGTTTCTGGATATCAAGAGAATCCGTGTCGGGGAGAATCTCTCTGCAGGACAAGGCGGCCTCCTAGTAAACAATGGTGGACAAAGCCAGATTATGTCAGGGACCTTGCCTATGAGTCAAGCGCCCCTGAGGAAGACGAATGCGCTGTCACATAGTACTCATTCTCCAGGCAACGGGATGTTTAACATGGGCTTAAAGGAGGTGAAGAAGGAGCCAGGAGAGACTCTGTCTTGCAGTAAACACATGGAAGGCCAGATGACCCCAGAGACCATTTTTCCTAGTAGGTATGGAGATGACCCTGGAGAACAGCTGATGGATCCTGAGCTGCAGGAACTGTTCAATGAGCTGACCAACATATCAGTGCCTCCCATGAGCGACCTGGAGCTGGAGAACATGATCAATGCCACCATAAAGCAAGACGACCCGTTTAACATTGACTTGGGCCAGCAAAGCCAGAGAAGCACTCCGAGGCCCGCCCTGCCTATGGAGAAGATCGTCATCAAAAGCGAATATTCACCCAGCCTGGCTCAAGGCCCCTCGGCCTCTCCTCAGTTGAGGCCCCCATCAGCTGGTCCTGCATTCTCCATGGCGAGTGCTGCCCTCTCCACATCCTCCCCCATCCCTTCTGTCTCTCAGAGCCAGGCTCAGCCTCAGACAGCCTCAGGAGCAGGCCGGGCCCTGCCCAGCTGGCAGGAAGTGTCCCACGCGCAACAGCTCAAGCAGATAGCTGCAAATCGCCAGCAACACACCCGGATGCAGCAGCACCAGCAGCAGCATCAGCCTACCAATTGGTCAGCCATGCCGTCTTCAGCTGGGCCTTCCCCAGGTCCCTTTGGGCAGGAGAAAATCCCCAGCCCTTCCTTTGGCCAACAGCCATTCAGCCCACAGAGCTCCCCTATGGCTGGGGTAGCCAGCAGCAGCAGCCAGTCAAAAGTAATGGCTAACTACATGTACAAGGCCAGTCCCTCAGCCCAGGGAGGCCACCTGGATGTTCTCATGCAGCAAAAGCCTCAGGATCTCAGTCGAGGTTTTGTTAACAACCCACATTCAGCCATGGAGCCCCGTCTGGGCAACACCAAGCCTCTGTTCCATTTTAACTCAGATCAAGCAAACCAGCAGATGCCTTCTGTTTTGCCTTCTCAGAACAAGCCTTCTCTCCTACACTACACCCAGCAGCAACAACAGCAGCAGCAACAACAACAGCAGCAGCAACAACAACAACAGCAGCAGCAACAACAGCAGCAACAGCAGCAGCAGCAACAGCAGCAGCAACAACAACAGCAGCAGCAGCAGCAGCAGCAGCAACAGCAGCAGCAGCAGCAGCAGCAGGTACCCCCACCGCCACCCCAGCCTGCCCAGCCTGTATCAAGCCAGTCTTTACTAAGGTCGCCCTTGCAGCTTCAGCAAAAGATTCTGCTCCAGAAGATGCAGAATCAGGCCCTCCAAGGACTGGGGTATCAAATCTCCTCCCAGCAACACAGACAGGTAAGACCTCTCTCGTTCCCCACACAGAGATAGCTCCCTGAGCCCATTCTGGTTTTTCATTCTGCTTTGGCTGTCACTGTGTTTGTGTCGGGGTAGCATCAAGACCACAAGACAGTAAGTGACCTTGAGGGATTTGGATGAAGACCCCATAAAACCTAGCTCACTTATGGCGTCTGGAAAAAGGGGCTAGGATTTCCCTGTAGACTGTTGCTCTCGAAGGATCTTTAGTGAGCAAGGGTTCTTGCTTATTAAAATTGTTGTATTACAGCTGATACCTTTAGTGACATATTCACTCAGGGAGCTCTGATGGCCTAATGGCAAGAAGCTACACTGCAATCCCAAAGGCTCGCAGTTTGAATGTCTCCAGTTTCTCCATGGGAGAAGAATGGGCAGTCTCCTCCTGTGTGATTAACTGCCTCTGAGAACCTACTGGAAGGTCAGCTATGAGCTAGTTCTGACTCAAGGGTACACAACAGTCTTTAAGTCAGTATGCACTTGCCAGGCACCTACCGTGTACTAGATGTGAATATACTGAATATCGGAATAAAGCTGGAGATGACATTAAAAGTGTTTAATGGCCAGCCTTCCATCACTTTCCACCAAGTGGAATGTTCAGACTCAGCCCTCTTGAATAAATCATGCAACAGATCTGTGCTGTAAGACCCAGTCTCTGCCTGCAAGTGCCATCTTGAGAGCGAGACAGGTTGAAAAGCTCCCATTGTTACACTGCGTGGAACATGTGATGATACTAGGGTGCCAAGGTTGGGTATCTGGCCAGCAGTGGGAAATCGAGGAAGGCTTTTGGAGAGTAATGTCTGATTAAGTGTTTCAGGGTGATATTGTCATGACAACAAGCACACACAGTTCTGGTTACTCTCTAGCCTGTGGGTAGCAGAAAACAAAGGTTTTATTCTGCCCCACACACGAATAGTATGAAGAGATTTGCTCTGTGCCTCCCGAGCACATAGTGATGAATAGCCCCAAGCCCCAGGAAACTTGAAAAATGAAACTCTTCCAGGAATCCAGGAAAGAAAGGAGAGAGTGAAGAAGGAAGGAGGGGGACAGGGACTTAAAGAAAAGAAGAAAACAGGGAAGAAAAAAAGGTTAGTGTGAATATTGCTTTGTGTATGTAAGTCTGCGTTTGTGCCCAAGCACAAAGACCGCGCACTGCGTGTCAAAAGCAGGGCAGTATGGCAACACAGAGCTTAATCCAATGACATTCCTCGAGTAGTTTTCATAGCTACTGCCCAGAAAAGAATGCCACAAGGTCCACCGACTGTGTCCAAGCTGACCTTTGTCCCAGATGTGGACCAAGAGAAAATTGGTCTCAACAGGAATGCAAAAACAATGATCCAAGTAAAACTTGAAACTCCTAGCCACTGAAGGGGGTTTTATTTTACTTTTTTTCCATTTTAATTGCAGCCTACAGAGAATGGTCTTAGGGTAGAATGTATGTATGTTTCACAAATTCTTTTTTGAGGATCATTAAAAAGAAAAAGAATGTTGCAGGACTACAGTAGTGGCATCTACTTCCTAAACAACATGCCTCTGGAAATTCAATGAACTTTGAGAAACAATAGTTATCAAAAGGATTCAGATCTTTTGTTCATGGGATTGCTATGAGTCGTGCTTGACTCGACGGCAATCAACAACACAACAACCGTTTATATGTAAGAATATGATTTCAATGAAAAAGGGTCGAAATCCCTGTGTGGTTTTTTTGTTTTGTTTTTTGTTTTTATATTTTCTAGTTGTAGACCTCAAGTAACAGCTAACTTCTTTATCAGTAAATGGAGGTGGTAATAATAGTATTACCTCTATGGCACATTGAGAATGAAATGAGACAATTCTTATCTCAAACCCAGAATAAAGTTGCATATTCTCTTGATGACTATGGAAACTACCATAAATAATATAAAAAATGTTACTGTTTGCGAGTGTTACTGTTATGCAGGAGAGATTTTGATTGAGCCCTACATTCTACCACAAAGGTATAGAGGGTGGAATTAAAAACAGTAAAGCCCTAATTCATCTACTAGGCAGCAATGTGATGGGATGCTGTTGTTAGGTCTTTTCAAGTCAGCAATGGCTCATACTAACCCTGTTGGCAATACTGGGACCCTGGTTCCTGTCCTGTGCCATCTTCGCCATCTCTACCATACTCGTTGGTACAGTGACTGTCATTTCTTCTTGTTGAAGCTCATTTTCTCTTTCAATGACCCTCCACTTTCCCAACATTACGTCTTTTTTCCACGGACTAGCACCTCCAAACAACATGCCCAAAATATGTGAAAGAAGTTCACCCGCTTTGCCTCTCAGAGCCCCCTAGCTGTACTTTCTTTAAGTCAGATTATTGATTCTTTTGACATTCCATGGCATATTCAATACCAACGCCGCAATTCAAAGGCACTGATTTATTTTTGGTCTTCCTTACTCATTGTCCAACTTTCACATCCATGTGGAGCAATTTCAAATACCATGGCAGTATGAGTGGGTAGTGATCTCCCCGACCCTGAGCATAGGCTCCTGGTTCATACAAATGGAAATAATAAACAATAATATAAGAAGAAACTAATAATAAGTGTTGACCTTCATTGATTATTGACATAGCTCTGACACCTTTACTTGTGGTATAATGATCTATATGATGAAATAATATTATTCTCATATAGCAAGTAAGAGGTTCGAGGCACAGAGATGTTAACATCCCTAAGATGTTAACTGCCCTAAGATCATACAGATAATAAATAACAGCATCAAGATTCAAAATCTGGTGGTCTATTCTGTAGGCCGTGCTTAGCTGTTAGTCTCTGCATTCACAGGGACGGGTTGTTGGCAAATGAACGGTCATCTTTAAAGCACTGTTAATGCTCAGTAGAAATATTTCTTCCAAAGGCAAAAATATATAACAGGCTTTTGGGATAAAGGAATTCTTAAACCTCGACTTTCAGAACTACAAAAGAAAAAAATAAGAAAATATACTTTCCTGTGTGGTCATTTACCTTCCTGAGGATAAACATTATGGAACAAGCCAAAATAAGCCGTTTCCAAAAAAAAAATTATCTCATAGGGAGCTCTGGTATCTTAGTGATAAGAAACTGTGCTACCAACACAGTTCAAATTCACCAGCGACTTTGCAGGAAAAAGATGGGCAGTCTCCTCCAGTCAGATTATACTGCCTCTGCCAACCTGCTGGAGGGTCAGCTATGAGTCAGTTCTAACATAACGATACATAACAACAATATTAACTCCAAGATCCTGTGTCCTCTTCTCCTTATTACTGCTGACATCAGCAAATACATTCCATACTCCTGACCTCTTAGTTACCACCAGAACTTCTAAGGATTGAGTACACAGGTCAGGAAGCATCTTCTAACAGCTTTGATCCTTTTTTAATTTTTCCCAACATGTATGATAGTTTTTATCTTTTCAAACAGGCTCTTAATACATTTATACAATGGAATACTACACAGCAGGAAGAAGCAAAGATTTGGTAAATTACTACCTAACTTGGGAGGGACTGGAAAGCATTAGGCTGAGTGAACTATCTCAGTGCCACAAGGACAAATACTGTATAAAACCATTATTGTAGAATGAATATGAGGATCCAAGGTGAGGGGGAGGGTGTAAATAGAGGGATGAGGATATGGGGGGGAGGTTGTTAATCATAGGGCTGCACAATGTGGCATGAAGGGCAGGTGGCATGAAGGAAATGGGAAGTATCTTTTGTGAAAAACAATGTATTCAAACTTTGTAAATAAACCAGCATAATTTTTTTCTAAATAAAGGGCCTTTAATAGTGGCAGCATTCTAAGCTAGAGACCACTTTTATATAGACAATCATTAGCTACTCATTTAAAACTGTTTTCCTACTATTTAGATTGAACAAATTAACTCTCTGGATCTTTCCAGATCCATGATTCTATCCACTAGGGTCTAAATCCTGTATCTGAGTTTTCAAGCAGATCAATCTGTTCACTCCAGACAAATAAATATCACCCTCTGTCAAGTCCTCACTTTAGAGATAGGAGTTGGGATGATGGACTCCCATTCTAATAATAATAATGTTGTTAATATAATTTCAGAATTTCTCTTTGTGGATTTTCTGGAGCTCCTAGCACATCCAGTGAATTATTATCTATTTAATAATATTCATTCATCTAGCTGATTTTTTTTCCTTTTTAAAAAAATTTTAATTTTTTTTGTGTGTGTGTGTACCATCAAATCGAATCTGACTGATCCTTCTCCAACAGAGCATCTAGTAGATTGGAAACACGTACTTCTGGGATTGCAGTGCAGCTTCTTGCCACTAGGCCACCAGAGCTCCTTCTAGCTGATTTTTTTTTAAACAATTAGTCTCAGCAATGTTTATTTTGAGCCAAACCAAGGCATAACTATGATGTGATGAGACTGAATTTCAAGTAGTTTTGTAAACTTTATCTGAAAGCAATAAAGAAAAAGAAATTAGTTGCTTCCCAAGATGATTATTTTGAGAAACTTTCATTTGGATGTACTAAGATTTTTCTAAGTTTTATAGTCTTACCTAACATATTGCTAAATATTCTAAACCCAGAGACAGTACTCATTTTTATTTTAATGCCACCCGCTCCACTGCCATCAAATCAATTTCAACTTCTAGTGTGATCCTGGCTGAAAGTAAGGAATACTAGAAGATCTATTTGCGTTTTAGTGACTCTGCAAAGACATTTGACTGTGTGGATGATGACAAGTTGTGGCTGACATTGAGAAGAATGGGAATCCCAGAGCGCTTAACTGTGGTCGTGCAGAACCTGGACCTGGACCAGGAGGCTGTTGTGCAAATGGAGCAGAACACTGCATGATTTAAAATTGAGAAGAGAGTGTGTCAGAGTTGTATTCTCTCTCCATACCTATTCAGTCTGTATGCTGAGCAAAGTATCTGAGACTCTGGACTCTATAAAGAGGAATGTAGCATCAGGATTGGAGGGAGACTCATCAATATCCTGCCTTATGCATATGAC